TTCACAAAAGTTTAAACACTAAGTTTGGTTGATATATATCCCTTATATAAGGAGCTCTGTGGTACAGTAGTTAAGGCATTCGGCTGCCAACCAAAAGGTAGGTGGTTTAAACCCACCATCCTCCCTTTGGTGAAAGATGAGGACATCTGCTTCCATAAAGATTTATAGCCTTGGAAACCCCTGTGGAGCAGTTCTACTCTGTCCTGTAGGGTAGCTATGAGTTGGAATCGACTCAATGACAATGATTCTTTTTTCAATCCCTTATGTCTCTCTCAGTTCCCTTCTCTCTTTTTTCCCCCCTTACAATTCACTTTTTGAAGAAAATGGTTGGTTTGTCCTTTAGAATTTCCACAATATGGATTTTGCTGATTGCATCCCAATGATATCTTTTAACATGTTTCTCTATTTCCTATGCTTCCTATCAATTGATAATTAGATCAAATTTTGATCAGATTCAAGTTCTATTTTCTGGACAAACTCCTTCATACGTAGTGGTGTCCTCTTCCCTCAGGAGTTTTATCATGTCTGGATCCTCTTTATTGTTATATCCATAAATAACCCCATAACCATTGGTGATCATTGCCTGTTGTTGTTAGGTGCCGTCGAGTCGTCTCTGACTCATAGTGACCCTATGCACAGCAGAACGAAACACTGCCCGGTCCTGTGCCAGGCTCACGGTCCTTGCTATACCTGAGCCCATCATTGCAGCCACTGTGTCAATCCATCTTGTTGAGGGCCTTCTCCTTTTTCATTGACTCTCCCCTTTACCAAGCATGATATCTTTCTCCAGAGAATAGTCCCTCTGACCACATGACCACATAGGTGAGATGAAGTAGCCATTCTCACTTCCAAGGAGCATCCTGGCTGCACTTCTTCCAGGACAGATTTGTTAGTTCTTTTGGCATCCCATGGTACTTTCAGTTTTCTTCATCAACTCCACAACTCAATAGCATCAACTTTTCTTTGGTCTTCCCTGTTCATTGTCCAGCTCTCACATTCATATGAGGCTATTGAAAATACCATGGCTTGGGTTGGGTGCACCTTAGTCTTCAAGGAGACATCTTTGCTCTTCAGCACTTGAAAGAGGTCTTTTGCAGCAGATTTGCCCAATGCAATATGTCATCTGTTGCTTCCATTGGTGCTGATTGTAGAACCAAGTAATATGAAGTAATATGAAGTCTCTGACAACTTCAATATTTTCTCCATTTATCATGATGCTGCTTATTGGTTCAGTTGTGAGGATTTTTCTTTATACTGAGGTGTAATCCATACTGCAGACTGCCTCGAACCATTATTTCACTAAGGTGATATTCTCATTATATCAGTTCTTCATCATTTATTAGCCAATATTTCTATGAAGAGACGTCATCTCATCAAATATTTCCTTAGCCTGAAGTGGAGGTTTTTTTTAGGAGAGGCAGGAATAAATGGTTGTTTCTTTCTACTTACCAGTTTGTTTTTAAATGAATTGATATCCTGTGTGTTGTATGCCGTTGAGTTGATTCTGACTCCTATCTACTCTGTGAGACAGAGTAGAACTGTTTTAATGGAAGCAGATCATCAAGTCTTTTTTTTCCTTGGAGCTGCAGGGTGGGTTCGAACCTCTGAACTCTGGTTAGCAGCTGAGCTCTTAACTATCTATTGCATCACCAGCATCCCTCAAACCAGCTCTATAAGGAAGCCACCTCACTTGCTGTTCTTGCTTCCATCTCTTTGCCCAGAACTTATTCACATGTCCCCCACCTCACTGCCAGGTAGCCTGAGATACTTACACTTTAACCTGGGCAGCCAGGTGCTTAGATAAAGGGAAAAAGGGACCATTATCACTTCCCATTGGCCTGTAACATGCTTGAGGGCTGGGCTGCATTCATAGTGTATCTCTTACAGTTCCTGGCATGCAGGCTTAGTGACTAGGCATTGAACAAATAGGGAACTATCTAATCCAGTCCTCACTTCTGTCCATTCCATGTGCCAGGTTCCCAGTTCGGCACAAGGACACTCAACTCCCTTCTGCAGCCTCACTCATCCCACGCTGTGCTCCTTCTCCAGCTTCTCTTTCTCCTCCCCTCTCCTCTCATTTCCTTCTCCTCCTTCTACTTTTACTTCTGGGCCTTGTTTCTACTTTTCTTGACTCAATGCTTCTCTCATTTCTCAGCTTGTCCAGCATATACCCACCTATTAGGATTCTTTCCTACTCTGCTCTGTCCTGCAGATTTTCTTAAGTACTTTAGCTCACTCAGAGTTGTTTGACCTCAGGCTACCCAGAGAGTCGCAGTGTCTATCATCCTCTGTGGTTATGGACAGCCCCACCAGAAGAACTCTTGTATTTTCTAGTGTTTATGCTCTGACTTCCCGATGGACCCTCAGGATCTAGTCCATGCTTCTTCCTGCAGGCTGCATGAGAACTCCCACAATGTTTTTTTTTTTTTTTTCCAGCACAGGCCTATTGTGACCCCAGTCACAGAAGGTGCATTGATTGAAGCACAGCTGTTTCACATAGATTTTGAAAGCTGTGTCTACCTGATGCCAACACAACGTGGAGAAGAGCAGGAATTCTGTCATTGGTCTTGGAAATTTTCTCTATCTGCATGACTGATGTGGCAGATTTGTTTTCATCCATTGATTGAACGGCAATGGTGGTCCTAATCTAGATCTGATGCTGGGCTCCAAAGGAGTTGTTCTCTGAACAGCTGTTTCTGGGTCCCAGGAATGGAAGGATCTGTATAATCTTCTGCAGGGGCCACAATGGAGCCAAAACAGAGTGAGAAATGAAAGTTTGGGGCAAGAATCAAGGTTGATGGTGCCATCTCTACCTTATAGGATGATGTTTTTCCATTTTTGATCAGGAATTATGGGTTGGTCTCCCCATAACTAATATCAGGAGAACAGGAGGAGATGGCTACAGAGAGATGAACAAGTAAAGGAGAAGGAACTAAGCGGTGAGTAGCCAGCCACTATTTTATGTGCTTTACAAGTATGTATTCATTTGGTCCTCATATTAATCCTATGAGGAAGGGGGCTATAATCATTTCCATTTTACTGACATTGAAACTGAGGCTTAGAGAAGTTACGGATCTTGACCAAGCCAGTAAGTGGCAGAGCCAGAATATGAAGACAGGCAATCTGACTTTGAAGTTTGTATCCTAACACTCTATGGTGAAGATCAGATTGAAGATGAGCCTAGTGTAGAGTGGATGGAAAGAACGCTCACCCAGAGCTAGCAAGGCTGCAGAGGAACCAGCGTAGCATATACTGCCGGACGCCTTGACAATGGATTCAATTTTTTGATAGAACAATATGTGCTAAGAGATATAAAGTTCTCCATTTTTCTTCACTTAGGAATGCCAATCCTAGAAGTTTATTCTAAGCTTATAGTTCAACAGAAGAGGAAGGTATATGCATGAAGAAGTTTATTGTGTGATCTGCAATAATGGAAAACTGGGAACAAATTAAGTGCCCAAGAATAAGGATATGATTAAGTAATTTCACAGTACATTCACTTGTTGAAATACTACAAAAACATTTAAAATTATAATTATGAGGACTATGAAGAAGAATGGGAAAATGTTTCCCATGGAATGTTAACTTCATAAAGCAGGATAAAAATCATTTGTAGATATGATGACAATCCTGGTATCTACGCATATGGACAAAAGCCTGAAACAGAACAGGAAAATATTCTAGTAGTTAGGTATTTGTTAAGGTCTTTTCATTTTTTCAGATTTTTTAAAATGTTTATTTGACAGATAATTTAAAAAAGAAATGAGTTGGTGACAGAAGTGGATTGAAATAATCATCTGGGGTGAGGTCTGAGACTGTTGGTAGGTTCCCACAGACTGCCTCTGACTGATCCCTGAACTCAGGGCCTGCCAGAGGTGGTCAGTGTGGAGAGGACAGTGCGAGTTGGAGGGATGCCTGTGTGTGTGTATGAGAGAGACAGAGAGACAAAGAGATTGAGAAACAGAGAGAGAAAGACAGAGACAGAGAGAAATAGAGAGATAGAGAGACAAAGAGACAGACATAGAGACAAAGACAGATAGACAGACAGAGACAGAGTGAGATAGACAGAGAGACAGACAGAGAGAAACAGAGACAGAGAGAGAGATTGCACTGGCACCCTGTCCCACCAATGCATCTAGGCATGTGGTCCCTGTCCTGGCAAAGTCAGGGTATTTTTTTTCCCTCTGTTGGCAAAACCATCAGCTCGTCCTCTGCTTTGCCTCACCTCACTTCTTCCATGCTTCATTCTTCAAGTCTTGGCTTAGAAGGTACTCTTCCTGGGAATCAGCCCCAACTGTGTCCTCACCCCACCCATTGAGTTAGGTGTCCTTCCTAAGCACCCCTCTTCCCCTTGCACCCTATGTTGGCCTATCTCTGCACCTAGCAGGCTCTAGGGAGATTGTGTCTCTCTGAATCCCCTTTGGACTCCAAGAGGTTGGATCTTAGAAGGACCTGGATCACCTTACCTCCCTATGCCCCGACTCAGATACTAACCGCCCCCCAAACAAGCCAGTTGCTATTGAGCTGACTCACGGTGACCCCATGCACGTCGTCTGAGTAGGTCTGTGTCACACAGAGTTTTCGATGGCTAATCTGTTGGAAGTAGACTGACAAGTCTTTCTCCGAGGCCCCTCTGGATGGACTCAGTGAGCCAACCTTTTGCTTGGAGCCAGGCATGTTAACCATTAGCACCACGCAGGGACTCTGACGCAAGCACAATACTCACTGAAGGAATGAGCCTCCTTCCCTTACCTTTAAATGGGGACACGTTGGGCTGGATTAGATCCTTTGCACCTCCGCATACTGTGATTTTACTGACGTTTTACCAAACTCATTAAATAAAGGTGCCACTGGGTTTTGAAGAGAAGTCCTAATGGAGGAAATGTCCTCTCTGTTACTGTCTGTGGATGGGCCCCCAAACATTCTCTGGTCTTGGGGCAGACTGTGAACCTAGTTTGAGGGTTGTGTTGGGGTTTTCATACCAGGTCAGCTGGGTGTCCATGAAGGTGGTCTTTGAGGGGGTGGCCCAGCAGAGCTGTGTGGCCCAGGCTCTTTGCTTCTCCCTTGTCTGTACTCAACCACAGGCTGCGACTGCCACCGCGGCAGCGCCTCCACGTGGGGATCCACAGGAGCCTGGAACCCTGATGCCACATCTCCGCCTGTGCGCTGTGGAAGTGGGCGTGTCTGTGCACATGGCGGGCGTGTCTGTGTCACACATGGGTCGAGTGGCCCGGGATTTTCTGGGCTAGTGTGTCTTTCTTTGTATGGAAATGTGTGCACATACGTCTGTGGATGAGAGGTCTTCAATTAGGCAAATAACTATTGTGAGCTTTGTGCTTGGCAAGATCCCATCTCGAAGGGCTGGGCATGCAGCAGGCTGTGTGTGCACGCCTTACCTGTCTCTGCATTGGGTGTCCCCTCTCTGTGCCTTTGGAAATGCGTTCTTGGCACGTGTCCTGCGTTCGCAAGGCTTTCAGCCTGGCAGTATCTGTGTGACTGCCGGGGTCCTGTTTGCGGCTGTTTCCTCGCTTTCCAGCCTCACTTGTGCCCGCAGTCAGGCTCTGCACGTGCGCAAGCCTCCCAGCGCACGTCCCCGAGTGACCTGTGCGCTGCGTGCAGGGCCTCCGAGTCGTGTGCACTTCATGTGCTCGTGCCCGTCTCTATGTACGCACGAACGCACCTCCACGTGTCTGAGTGCACGTCTCTCTC